GGCTGCTGGATCTCGGGACGGCACCGCAGGGTGTGTGATCTCTTTTGAGCTTCCATTTCCCATGTAGAACTTCTCTCTGTTCCGTGCGCTCTGGCCCTGGGTGCTGGATTACGCAGTAGCAGCCCCACAGGGTATGTGTTTTTTGCCGAGTCTCCGTCTCCCTATCCAGACATTTTCCTGCTCTGTGCGCACTAGGTGGGGCTGTTGGACCTTGCAGAGGTGGCCCGCAGGGTGTGTGTTTTCTGCCGAGTCTCTGCCTCCTTAGGCGGACGCCTTCCCACTCTGTGCACTCAGTACTGGGCTGGGGCGTGTCTTCTGCAACCCTCGTCTATCAGTCGGGACTTCAAGCCCCTGCTCGGCACCGCCCCGCCCAGGAAGACTTTCAGGTTTCTACTAGGCGCAGACTGCCGGTCACGCTGGGTGCCTTTGTAGCACTGAGTAGGGCTTTCTCTGGACTTCTCACCTTCCTCCTGGTATTGCGGTTATTTGTGTAGTTGCCTTGTCTCCCACAACAGGGTGTGCGCTCCTCGGGGGAGGAGCCCACAGCACAAAGTTCCTCTTTGAATCCTCCCGGCGCAGACTGACTCCGGCGCCCACCCGCAACCAGCTCTCTGGCAGGTTCAAGCGAGCTCGGGAGCGAATTTCAGAGGCTGAGAAGTCCAAAGTCTAGGGAACACATCTGGTGAGAGCCTTCTTTGGTGGTGACTTCAGAAACACAGGGTATCACATTTTGAGAAGGGCAGGAGCAAGAGCAATTTAAAAATATTTACTATAAACTCTAATGCAACCATTAAAAAAGCAGAAATGAAACTAATAAGCCAATAAAGGAGATAAATATAAAATAATAAAAAAATACTCAAAAAGGTAGGAAAAGAGAAAAAAGGGAATTAAAAACAAATGGGATACACAGAAAACAAACAGCAAAATAATATATTCACATCCAAGCATATCAACTATCACATTAAGTTATCCAAACACTCCAATTAAAAACAGATTATCAAAATTAGATAAAAAAGCAAGATTATACTACATGGTGTTTACAAGAAGTCTATTTTAAATATAAAGATACAGATAGGTTACAAGTAAAAAGATAGAAATGATATACTATGCAAATACAAATCAAGAGAAATGTGGAGTGACTATATTCATATCAGCAAAGTGGATTTCAAAGCTAAGAATATTAGCAATGATACAGAGTGTAATTTAATAATGATAAATGGATGATTCATCAAGAGGGCATAATAATCCTGATAATAGAGCTTCAAAGTTCTTGAAGCAAAACCTGATAAAATTGAAAGAAAAAGGCAAATCAACAACTATAATTCTCTAAAACACTGATTGACTAGATAGTAGTAAGGATATAAAAAAATCAAACACTATCCATCAACTTGACTTAAGTGATATTTATAGAATACTTTACCCATCAGACTATAAACATTATTCTAAAATGTACATGAAACATTTACAAAAACAGACTATAATCTGGTCTATAAAACAACTGTCAAAAGTTTATAAGGAAAGTTATGTTCTCTGATTGTGATAAAATTAAATTAGAAATCAATAATAGAAAGACATCTGGAAAAATCTCCAAATATTTGGAAATTAGACAACATACTTCTAGATAACTAATGGGTTAATAAGAAAACTCATAAGGGAAATTAGAAAGTATTTTTAAGTGAATGAAATAAGAACACAATATATCAAAATTCACGGGATGCAGCTAAAGCTTTAGAGGAAAAATGGTATCATTAAACACATATTAGGAAAGAAAAAGGCTATAAAATGAATAGGTCTCAATTTGAAAAACTAGAAAAAGAAGAGAAAATTAATCCCAAAGTAAACAGCCAGAAGGAAATAAAAAATAAATACCAAAACCAGTTAAATAGAACACAGAAAAACAATAGGGAAAAATTAATGGAATCAAAGCTGGTTATTTGAGAAGATCAAGAAAATAGATAAAGCTTTAGGCACAATGAAATCAGAGGGAAAATAGTATGGCACAAATTACCAATATCAGGAATGAGACAGTATATGTCACTACGGATTATACAGATATTAAAATAAGAGAAAAATATGAATAGTTTATGCTAATATATGTTAGTTTAGATGCTAATAGTTTATGCTAATATATTTTACAGCTTAATTCCCTGTAATAGAATACTACCAAAGTTCATTCAAGAAGAAACTGATAACTGAAATAACCTTGTACCTAATAAAGACATTTGCTAAAAGACATTCCTATAAAGAAAACCCCAGGTCCAGACGGCCTTACTATTGACTTCTACCAAATATTTAAAGAAGAAATAATATCGATTCCACACAAATTCTTTAAGAAAATAGAAGAGGAAGAAATAATTCCCAATTCATTCTATGAGGAAAGCATTCTCTGGATACCAAAACAGACACAGATACAACAAGAAAACTATAGATACATATCCCTCATGAACACAGACATAAAAACCCTTTATGGGCCGGCCCAGTGGCGCACTGGAGAGTGCGCCGCTTGGGAACGCGGCGGCGCTCCTGCCGAGGGTTCGGATCCCTTGTGGTGACCGGTTCCCGCTCACTGGCTGAGCGCGGTGCGGGCGCAACACCGAGGGTTGTGATCCCGTTGCCGGTCCCCAGTACGGGCGCGACACCGAGGGTTGCGATCCCGTTACCGGTCAGTAAAAAAGACAAAAAGGGGGAAAAAAAAAATCCTTTATAACATTTTAACAAATAGGGCCCAGCATTATATAAAATGATTAGTACAACATGACAGGGTTGCGATCCCGTTACCGGTCAGTAAAAAAGACAAAAAGGGGGAAAAAAAAAATCCTTTATAACATTTTAACAAATAGGGCCCAGCATTATATAAAATGATTAGTACAACATGACAGGGTTGCGATCCCGTTACCGGTCAGTAAAAAAGACAAAAAGGGGGAAAAAAAAAATCCTTTATAACATTTTAACAAATAGGGCCCAGCATTATATAAAATGATTAGTACAACATGACCAAGAGGGCATTATCCCAGGAATGCAAGGCTGGTTTAACATTTGAAAGTCAATGTTAATTCATGTTATAAATAGACTATTAAAAAAACAAATAACATGATCATCTTATTGAGATACATAAAACTCATTTGATAAAATTCAACACCCATTCATGATAAAAAAAACTATCAGAAATTGAGGAATAAATTGGAGCTTTCTCAACCGATCAAGGTCATCTACAAAAAAGCTACAGCTAACATCATACTTTATTTGTGAAAGACTAAATGCTTACCTACAAAACCAACAAGAAAAAGATACCATTCTCATCTCTTCTATTCAACCTTATATTAGAGGTCTTAACCAGTGCAAGAAAAAGGAAAAAAGGCAAACAGATTTCACAATAATTAAACTTTTTCTCCCCAAAGATGATATGATTATCTATATAGAGAATATCAAAGATGCTATAAAAGAGCTCTTAGAACAAGTGATCTTTAGCAAGATCACAGAATATGACAATATATAAAAGTCAACTGTATTTCTATATACCAGCAACAATCAAAAATTGAAATAAAACACCATATATACACTAAGCATAAAAATACGAAATACTTAGGGATAAATTTAACAAAAGATGCATAACACCTATACACTGAAAACTACAAAACATTTTTGCTAAAAATTAAAGACTTAAATAAATGTTGAGATATATTATGCTTACAGATCAGAAGACTTAATAGTGTTAAGATGTTACTTCTCCCCAAATTGATTTATAGACTTAAAAAAACAAATAAAACCCTTTTTTCCCCCAAGGCAAAATACAGTACAAATTTACTGACTCCAATCATTCTTAGTCAAGATTTAAGCAAAGTAAACAGACAACAGAATTGGATACAAATAAGCAATGGATTAACATCAGATAGAAATCCTATTCCTAGCAGGCTTTGTGTAGAAACGGACAAGCTAATTCTAAAATTTATGTGGAACTCAAAGGACTTACAATAGCCAAAACAATTGGAAAAAGGGGATGGCCAGTTAGCTTACTCAGTAGAGTATGGTGCTGATAACACAAAGGTCAAGGGTTCAGATCCCCATACAGGGCAGCCGTCAAAGAAGAAAAAAAAAAAAATGGAAAAAGCACAAAGTCAGAAGACTAATATTATGTGATTTCAAGACTTATTATAAAGACACAGTAATTAAGACAGTTGTAAAAAGGCAGACATATGAACCAAAGGAACAAAACAGAAAGTCTAGAAATAGATTCTCACAGGTACAGCCTATTGATTTTTGAGAAAGGTATCAAGGCAATTTAATGGAGATAGTCTTTTCAACAAATGGCGCTGGGACAACTGGATATTCGGTTGCAAACAAAATAAACATCGATCCTCACATCATATCATATACAAAATTAACCTGAATTGGATCAGAGACCTAAATGTAAGGCCTGGAACTATAAAAGTTTTATAAGAAAATGTAGGAGAAAATCTATGTTACTTGGGGTAGGTAAAGATTGCTAAATAGGACACACAAAGCTCAAATTATAAAGAAAAAAAATCACTAAATTAGACTTAATCAGAACGAAAGAATGAAAACTTTTTATCTTCCAAAGCCACTAATAAGAAAATGAAAAGGCAAGCCACAGCCTGGAGGAAATATATATATCTGACAAAGGATTTGTGTCCAGAATAAAGAGCTTCTACACATAGATAAGAAGATAACTTAATTAAAAAAAACAAATTAAATACTTGAACTAAAGATGTATGAATGGCAAATCGGCACATGAAAAGATGGTGAACATCATGGTAAACAGGAAAATGCAAATTAAAGCTACAATAATATACCACTACACACCACTAGACAGGCAAAATTTAAAAAGATTGACAATACCATTTGTTGGCTAGGATGTGGAGCAATCAGAACTTTTATACCTTACTTGTGGGAATGCAAAATGCTATAGCCACTTTGGAAAACATTTTGGCAGTTTCTTAAAAAGTTAAACATGCAGTTAATCATAGAGCCCAGCAAATCTACTTCTAATATATACTGAACAGAAATAAAAAGATACAGCTCTACATAATGAGCTATGTGCAAATGTTCATAGCAGCTTTATTCACAATGGCCAAAATCTGGAAGCAAGCCAGATGTCCATTAACTGGTGAACAGATAAACTGTTGTTTATCTGTATATCCATACAATTACTCAGCAATAAATAGGGAAAAATTTTTGATATTGGTAACAACACGAATGAAACCCTAAAATATTATGGTAAGTGAAAGAAGCCAGACATAAAAACTACATACTACATGATTCCATTTATATGAAATTCTAGAAAAGGGAAAGTGACATGCCAGATGCCAGCAAGAAGGCAATGGATTGACCATATAGGGGCACAAGGAAACTTCAGGCTGATGAAAATACGAGGTGACTTCAAAAAGTTCATGGAAAAATAGAACTAAAAGATAATACAAGTCTTTCCATAAACTTTTAAAACTACTCTCATAAAATCATAGATCCCTCTGGTGGGACAAATTTCTCTTAAGTTTTCCTATCAATGACTAGAAAAAAGTAGTGGGTAGTCTCAAAACCTTTGAGGGATTTTTTGCCACAAATATTGGGCGCTTTCATAAGTAAAAGCAAACAAAAATTTAGACTCGTTTGCTAAGAGGAACAGGAAAAAAAAAGCAGAACACAGACTGGTCACAGAGAAATTCTTTACAGAGGACGGTACCAAAGTCAGAATAGCTAAAGTGTTAGGAACTACAGGAGTCAATGGGACAACAAATTAATTTATTTCTCCAGAATCTCATGCAAATCTACATATCTTTATGAAGTCTACCTTTCTTCTTTACTGAAAGTATGAAGGGACTTCAAAAAGTTCATGGAAGACTGGCTAGTTAGCTCAGTTGGTTAGAGCATGGTGTCATAACACCAAGGTCAAGTGTTTAGATCCCCATACCAGCCAGCTGCCAAAAAAAAGGTTCATGGAAAAATGGAATTAAAAGATAAAAATAAAAATATAAGCTTTATTTCTCAACATAGCTCCATCAAGTTCAAGACACTTTTATAAGTGATGACACCAGCCATTTAGCCCATCTCTAAAGAACTGTGGGTCCTGGGAATTGAACCATGTCAATGCAGTCTTTTTTGCATAATTAACTGAAGAAAAATGGGTGATCTTCAAAGATTTTTTAAGATTAGGAAAAAGGAGCCAAATCAGGACTGTAAGACTGAAATCACTAGATGCCTAATGATTTCCCATTGAAACTCTAGCAATATTACCCTTGTCTGATAAGAGGAATGAGCAGGAGCACTGTCATGGTGGTGGACTCTGGTGAAGCTTTCAGAGGCATTTTTTCTGCTAAAGCTTTGGCTAACTTGCTCAAAACACTCTCATAATAAGCAGATGTTATTGTTCTTTGGCTCTCTAGAAAGTCAACAAGCAAAATGCCTTGAGCATCACAAAAAACTGTTGCCATGACCTTTGCTCTTGACCAGTCTGTTTTTGTTTTGACTGGACCACTTCCACCTCTCAGTGACAGTGCTTTGTGTTCTGCCTTCAGGATCATACTGATAAAGCCATGTTTCATCTCCTGTCACAATTCCTCAAAGAAATGCTTCAGGATCTTGATCCCACTTGTTTAAAACTTCCATTGAAAGCTCTGCTCTTGTCTGCAGCTGACCTGGGTGCAACAGTTTTGGTACCCATTGAGTGGAAACTGCTCAACTGTAATTTTTCAGTTAGAACTGTGTAAGCTGAACCAGTTGAGATGTCTATGGTGTTGGCTATTGTTTCTGCTGTTAACCATTGGTCCTCTTCAATTAGAGCACAAACAAGATTAATTTTTCCCCCCAGATTGATGTGGATGGTCTGCTACTATGACCTTCATCTTTAACATCATCTCATCCATTCTTAAAATGAGTTATCCATTTGTAAACTGCTGATTTCTTTGGGGCACTGTCTTCTTAAACTTTTCATAAGGCATCAATGATTTCATCATTCTTCCACCCAATCTTCTACCCACGCTTTACCATAAATTTGATGTTTGTTCTTGCTGCAATTTTAGAGAAATTATGTTGCTCTGATAGGGTCTCTTAAATTGATGTCTAATCCATCTCCGTGCCTCAAACTAGATCCTTTTCAGACATGTTATAACAAGTTAGTATTTTGCTGCAAAAAAAATGTCGAAATCTATGCATAGTTTTTCATAATATGCATTTTCCATGAACTTCTCGAAGACCCCTCCCTCATATTCTATATCATGATTGTGGTGGTGGTTACTCCTATATACATTTGTCAAAACTCACAGAACAATACACTTTAAAACTGGCAAATTCTACTCTATATAAATTTTTTTTCCTCCAAAAAAATTGCAGAAAAAAGGTAGAGTGGCAAAGTTAAAGAGAACGATTGAGCCCCCAAATAAGATGAGGACTTGAGACAAATGCTAAAGTTAGCAATCTTTCAAGGTATATTCTGAAAGAGATAAATGAAGGTTTTTAACATGGCATACCATATTTGTCAATTGTGAGCATGTACAAGAATTACGTAAACCTACCAGAGCTAGAGTGTGTTTTCAGAGTGCAGGAATCAACCACTGCAGCAGTTGAACTGAGTACTGCTGTGGATAGCTGAATTTGCTCTGGCTGAGTCTGAATGTCATTAGATTCAAACTGGCTCCCTTCTGCTGACTGCTGTGACTCAGTAAGAGAGATGTAGAACTCTTCCAATTTGGGCAGCGTGGAAGAATCTGAAGACTCCTTTAAATTTGGCTGCTGCAGAATGGGAAAAAAATGGCAAAAGCATAAAAAGTAACTGTTCGTATAAGAAAAAGAATCTCTTTTTGTTTCCTTACATACAAAACACATGTGTTTTCATATCATAATTAATAAATAAAACAACTCACTTTTAAGAACCTAGACACCCTCTGGACAAAGTCCTTCTCTAACTTAATGAACATCAAAATTCAAGAAATATTTATTGAATACATATCTTGAGCAAACATGGTACTGAATGCTACTATACACAAGGAAGAGTGGCAGGCGTGAGAGAAATGACATTCACTGAACATTCTTTGCCAGGCATAGTGCTAGGTTATTTGCATGTATTTCTTCATTTAAACATCCGAACCACCATCAGGTAGGTATTGTTATGTCTTCTTTCTCTTTGCATAATGCTCTTTACAGAGAGGTTAAGCTATCCAATGACTACCAGTAAATGGCAAGGCGCATATCTGAACTGAGGCCAGTGTTCTCTGTGCTCCACCACACCACCTCCTAGTAAGATATGATCCCCGTCCCTAAGGAGCTCACAGTCCTCAGATGGGGAAACAGAATATGTACAGCTAGCAATGAAAGAAGACATCTGCCTTCTGTATTCTGAACAAAATGACAGGAGAACACAAAGGAAAGCTCCTCAGAAGTGACAAAACAGAGTTATAAAGAACCAGAGTTTGAGTGAAAAAGATAAAATTCCCAAACACAGACTGAATTTGAGCTAAAGTGAATGGAGTGCCAAATTTTAAACATCAGGAGTCAGATTCTATTTTCTACTTTTGCTGAAGTAGGTACAGTCTATGGTAATTCAACAGCATTTATTTTCTGTGATGTCAACTGGCATTAATATGACTAAAGTGGGTCCCATCAGGACCAAGCTGTACTAAGTGGGTCCCATCAGAACTAAGTGGCTTATAGTCTGGGATTTGCCTAGAGTAAACTTAAACAGTAGTTGCACAAACAGAAAACTTAGGCTTTTATGTTTTTCAGGTTCCTATGTAATAGACATTTAATATCAGTAAATGTTCCTTCTGCAGCAAAAATCTATAGCATCTCATTTTCAAAGATGGCTGGCATGAATGTGGCTTATATAATTATATGATATACAAATAGCTGTATGTATACCCTTTTTTGGTAGCAAAAATGAAATTCCAAAAGTACAGATGGCTACAGTGGGCCATACAATATGCTACTTCAGGAAACCAAAGATGTGGATTCTAATTTTTGCTTAGATTACCAACACAGCAGTAGGCCCATCCATGCCCACCTGAGCCCTGGAGGGCCCACCCACTGACTGAGCTGGTGCCCAGGTGAGTGCCTGTCCCGCACGCCAACCTCTGATGGAGCTGCAGTTCCGCCCACGCCTGCCCGAGCACTAGAGAGGCCCGCCCACCAACCAAACAGGAGCCAAGGTAGCCCACCACACACTCAAGTGCACTGGTACAAGAGTCACCAGCAGAGCCTACAAATAGAGGAGGAAGTCTTTCTCCTCATAATCCACTCCAGAGTAATAGAAGAAACAAATGTCCTACCAGATGACCAAACATCAACAAAAAAATACTAGAATTACAAATAAACAAGAAGATATGACACCACTAAAGGAATATGGAATTCTCAAGTACCAGATCCCATAGAGCAGGAAACCCTTGAGATATCTGAAAAGGAATTCTGAGCACTGATCTTAAGAAAACACAAAGAGAAAAGAAAAGAATCAATTAGAGAACACACTGAAAGAAGAAAAAATATCCAGGAATGAAGGAGGAAATTTACAAAGAGATTAATACCTTAAAAAGAATGTACCTGTATCAGAACTCCTAGAAATAAAGGATTCACTCAATGAAATAAAAAACAGAACAGAAAGCTTGAGCAGCAGGCTAGAGCAAGCATAAGAAAGAATTCCAGACCCTGAAGATGGTCTTTTTGAAATAGCCCAGGCAGACCAAAAAAAGGAAAAAATAATTAAGAAAAATTAAGACTAGCAGACAACCAAAAATGCACAAACATCTGAATCATGGGTATTCCAGAAGGGGAGGAGAAAGGAAAAGGCATTGAAAACCTATTCAAGGAAGTAATAACAGAAAACTTCCCAGGTATAGGGAGAGATGCAAACCTTCAGATCCAGGAAGCCCAAAGATCCCCAAACAGATACAATTCCAAAAGACCTGCTCCCAGACACATTATAATCAATCTGGCAAAACTCAAAAACAACAGAATTCTAAAAGCAGCAAGAGAAAAGTGTCAAGTCACCTATAAGAGAGCCCCCTATCAGACCAACAGCAGACTTCTCAACTGAAACCTTACAGGCCAGAAGAAAATGGGATGATATATTCAAAACACTAAAAGAAAAGAAATTTCCAGCCAAGAATTCTATATTCACCAAAGTTATCCTTCAAAAATGAAAGAGAAATAGGGTATTTCCCAGACAAACAAAAATTATGGTAGTTCACCACCACACAACCAGCCCTGCAAGAAATTCTGCATCTAGAATCTGAAAAATGATAGTCACCATCAAGGATTCATAAGAAAGAGCAAAACCAGCTGTTAAAACCAACATGCAAATGAGAAAGAGAAAGAAGCTGAATCATGTTACCTCAAAAATCCAAGTAACACTGAAGATGAAAAATAAAAGGGGAAGAAAGGAACAAATGATATTTAAAATATCTAAACAAAAAACAGTATAATGACAAGAGTAAAGCAATACTTACCAATAACAACCCTAAATGCAAATGGATTAAAATCCCCATTCAAAAGACACAGACTGATTGGATTAAAAAGCTAGACCCAACTATATACTGTCTTCAAGAGACCCACATCACCTATAAAGACACACACAGACTAAAAGTGAAGGGATCGAAAAAGATATGCCATACAAATGGAAACCAAAAAACAAGCAGGAGTAGCTATTCTTATATCGGATAAAATAGACTTCAAACCAAAAACCATAAAAAGAGACAATGAAGGCCATTACATAATGATAAAGGGATCTATCCACTTACAAGATGTAAGAATCATAAATACATATGTACCCAACACTGGACCACCCAGATATGTAAAACAAACACTCTTAGACCTAAAAAAAAAAAAGAGATAGACTCTAATATGATAATAGTGGGTGACTTGAACACTCCTCTCTCAGTACTGGACAGATCTTCCAGGCAACAAATCAACAAAGAAACACAGGATTTAAACTACACCTCAGGTGAATTGGACCTGGCAGACATCTACAGAACACTTCATCCAACAACTACAGAATATACATTCTTCTCATTAGCACATGGAACATTCTCCAGGATAGACCGCATGTTAGGTCACAAATCAAGTCTCAACAAATTTAAAAAACTGAAATCATTTCAAATATCTTTTCAGACCACATGGATTAAAACTGGAAATCAAGAGTAAGCAAAATTCTGGGAACTGCTCAAGTGCATAGAAACTAAATAACAGACTCCTGAATGACCTGTGGGTCCAAGAAAAAATTAAATAGGAAATGAAATAATTTCTTGAAACTAATGAAAATAAAGATACATCATACTAAAACCAGTGGGCTACTGCAAAAGCTGTACTAAGAAGATTATTGCAATAAATGCTTACATCAAAAGAATGGAATGACTTCAAATAAACAACCTAACACTAGGCCTCAAAGATCTAGAAAAACAACAAACCAATACTAAAAGAAAGAATTAAGATCATGGCAGAACTAAATGAAACAGAGATCCAAAAAATGATACAAAAGATTAATGAAACAAAAAATTGGTTTTTTGAGAAGATAAATAAAGTTAAGACAAACCATTAGCTAGGTTAAAAAACAGAGAGAGAGAAAGAAGACCCAACAGAAATCAGAAATGAAAAGGGAGACATTACAACCAATACCACAGAAATAAGAATCATTAGGGATTATTATAAACAACTGTACAACAACAAATATGAAAAACTGGAGGAAACAGATAAATTTCTGGACACATACGACTACCAAGACTGAACCAAGAAGAAAGAGAGAACCTGAACAGATCAATAACAAGCAAAGACATTGAAGCAGTAATCAACAATCTTCCAACAAAGCCCAGGACTAGATGGCTTTTCAGCTGTATTCTATCAAATCTTTAAGGAAGTATTAATACCACCTCTCTTCAAACTTTTTCAAAAAAAAACTGGAATAGAAGCCATTCTTCCAAACTTATTCTATGAAGCCAGCTTCACCCTCATACTAAAACCAGATAAAGATACAACAAAAAAAGAAAAATTTAGGCCAATATCCTTAATGAACATAGATGCAAAAATACTCAACAAAATGTTAGCAACCAGAATATGGCAACACTGAAAAAATTATACACCATGATCAAGTGGGATTCATCCCAGGGATGCAAGTTTGGTTCAACACATTCAAATGAATAAATGTGATACACCTTATCAACAAAACCAAGGACAAAAAGTTTATGATTATCTCAATAGATGCAGAAAAAGCATTCGACAAAATTCAACATCTCTTTATGATAAAGATGCTTAGCAAATTAGTTGTAGAAAGAAATTATCTCAACACAATAAAAGCCATTTACAACAAACCAATCACAAATATCATCCTGAATGGGAACAAGACAAGGATGGCCACTCTCACCACTCCTACTTAACATAATATTGGAAGTACTAGCCAGAGCAATCAGGCAAGAGAAAGAAGTAAAGGGCATCCAGATTGGAAAGAATGAAGTCAAACTATCCTTGTTTGTAGATGACAAGATATTATATATAGAAAAATCTATAGACTCTACAAAAAAACTCTTACAGCTGATTAACAATTTCAGTAATGTTGCAGGATACAAAATCAACATCCAAAAATCAGTAGTGTTCTTATACTCAGTAATGAACTAGCAGAAAAAGAAATTAAGAAAGGAAGCCCATTTACCTAGGAATCAATTTAACCAAGGAAGTTAAAGATCTCTAAAATGAGAACTGCAAACCACTACTGAAATAAATTAATGAGGACACAAAAAGATGGAAAGACATTC